ATTCCTTTCCATACAGCCTATAGTTCCATTGGATCCTTTGATGCAAACCTACCTCGCTTGGTAGGTTTTTAACCATATCATGCTGGAGTCCACTGGATTGCTCTGACATTTTGTTCCAGTTTTGTTATCGAATATTTGGAATTTGCATCGACTCTCAAAATTGCATGATTAAATTCATTATTATTATGCATGATTAAATTCGGTTTCATCAAGCCCTATAAAGCGATCTCTACGAGCGTTGATGGCAATTATTGTTGTTTGAAGATTGTATAATGTCCAACCTTTTGAACCCAAAATTGGAATGGGAACGATGCTGAAGTCGTCTTATAATCCGAAGACACCAAAGGTATTGGTATCTCAAAGACAACTTGAGTGTCTGTTGTGCTGCCTTGTTCTGACATTAGTTAACACAGATTAAGAAGGTCAGCAGTGGCAACTGGTAAGATCTGATCGGGGGATAAATGGTCCAGGATTTGGTCGAGCCGCTCTCGTTGCGTAGGTCATACAAAAATTAGACTTATGCTTTTATGGCGAACATTAGTTAGCACGTTGGCTATATAACTCTGCATCCGCTGTAATTAATTTGCATATAGACTCATTTGAACTGTGAAGATCACAAATGATTACTCCAGCTGCGCACCCTAATACATACTTTCCTTGTGATTCATAATAGATTTAGATTTCTCATGATTTGACTCATTAGTTTTGGCTTAACTCAGCTCATTGTACGCAGTTGTGATTATGCTCCTTTCCATTGTTTTGTCATTGAAAATATTGTTTGCGAACTATGGAACGAAAAGCTTGGGCACCACAACGCATGTTTTTTAGTTATCTCATGACATTTTCACGATTGTGTCATTGTAAGAGAGCAATACAAGATGTTTTGCATTATAAGCTAGATTAGAATGCTCCAATCTGCCTCTACACGGAACCGATCCATCCAACTATTTTTATCTACGGTTTTTTATTGTTTTAAGTGTTTGTATTCGGCGTTAAATTCAATCTGCTGAATTGTAGGGAGAATTATTTTGCGTGTTGAGATTTTGTTGGCGCTCTGTTGGATTTGTTGCGGAATCGGACCATTTATGCAAACAATCCGTTGCAATTTCTGGAACGAGTTGCTGTACCGGCTTCTTCGAATTCGTCCTTTACAGCTGCCATGCTGACGAATTTCGTTTTCTGCTTCAAACTCCAAGCTAGCCAAGTTCTCCCTAGATCCGTGCCAGAATAGAGGACCGTAGAACCATATACTATTATGTGTAAGCTTGTTGGCGGTAGTTTCTCTGGAAAATAATTCAGCTGCATTATTAGCGGATGCTACGTGGCACCATTGAAACTGCTCCGTTATCTTTTTTAATCTTGGCTATCCGATTTTCTACAAACGTGTGGTAAGTGAAAGCCGCTGCAAAAAGACGGATGAGTCTGTCCAAAATTAGCCAGCAAGTTCGTCAAAAGAAAGACGTAAATCTTGTCTGACTTTCTGTGTGAGCTCTGCCCCTAGAACTGCTGCGCACAGCTCCAGTCTCGACAATGCTTGCTTTGCTGTAGATGCTACTTTGGTCTAAAATAAAATAGCCTACAGAGGTTTGCTTATTTTTGTACGTATATTTCTGACCCATAAGCATTCTCTGAGGCGTCCACGACGGTGTGTAGTTCCTGTTTTTGCCTTCACTATAACTGGCACAAACAACACTATTGGGTCGAAGATTTGTGATCACTTAGAGCAGACCACTGATTTTGTTATAACAGGAGCTTCACTTTTTTGTGTTCTTCCGCAAAGATCTTTGATCTTTGTTGGGCATCCCATATGAAGGTTTTAAACACTGTATTGGTCCAGTGTCTCACCTAATTTCACGTCGCTCATGGTATGTTCGCTTTTCCTTAGGTACTCTTCCTTTTTGAAGCTTGAAGCCGTGTGGCAGTAATGATCTGGAGCAGAGGTCGGCACGGCCCTATCTCGGGGGCATAGAAAATTTCTCTGCCCGAGCTCTGCCACACACACATAGTATAAATGTGTGAAACGTCATGCTCAAAGCCTACTTTCTGCTATTCGTTACTAACACTAATTCGGTAAAATCATATCAATGTATTGGGGTGCCGACCTCTGATCTGGAGCAACAAATAGAATTGTGTTCTGTTGTGTGGAACTAGTAATCGGTTCCTATTAGTAGATCAATTCTCCACGGTTTGTCGAACTGGGGATCCGCTAATGCACACTCATTGGGTATTTCCAACTCTCCGCAATGAGAGAGTGGTTAAGCTGGTTGGTCAGCTATAATGTGTGGTAGGACATAGGCTTCTAGTCGCACAGAAGTTACCTTCTAGTCCCGTCTAGAAGAGACTTTACTAGAACAGTCACTCTTGCTCTGCTCATCCTTGTTTCTCCACCAATACCTTCGATTCGAAGTTTTGTATCGTGGCGCTTTAACCAAAACATTGATGCTAGTCATTCGGTAATTAAATTAAACTTTGCTGCTTTTCTGTTATCGGCTTGGATTGCTTTTGCTTGGAAGAAGGTTGTAATTTTTATTGCTTACGGCACATACTGCTGGATTCTAGATCAGAAGGTGCAAAAAGCACACATGTTTAAAATAAGAGTGTATGCGTAGCAGAAAAAATAATGAGAGCAAAGCATTCATTAAGCTAAAAAACTGTAGTTTATTATATTTAATTTTTCGTTAATTCAAAAGTTTGAAGGGTCACTAATATAGTGTATCTCAGTTCTTAAATTATAGTAAACTAGCAGTACCCTGCCACGTTTCGCTGTGGCATATTGTGGTTGCACGCATAAGAAATAAGTCAAACAAAAAAGAATAATTTGCAAATTAATTTAATTCTGTAATACTTGTGGGTGTACAATATTCTTTGTATCTCCATTCTCCGCGTAAATATAAAAATTATTTGGTTTTCCGACACGGGAACACGCAACATATAATTGTCCGTGTGAAAAACTATCTTCATCCAAATCCAAACCAAAAAACTCCAGAGATTGACCTTGAGCTTTATTTATGGTCATTGCGAAAGCCAAACATATGGGAAACTACAATCTCCTGAACTTGAACGGTGTATCAGTCGGGAACATAGGAATCCTAGGAATGAGGACATCTTCACCTTTAAAAGGACCACTTATGATCGTTGCTTCTACAACGTTGTAGGGGCACGGGGAAACGCGAAAAAAACTGATATATTCGCAAACGCAGATAAGCTATCAACATCAAAAATAGACATAAACCGAGCTGAACCCTCAACGCATGTTTGGTAAAAATTTGGGCTTAAACGGTTCAGAACTTTTCAAGTCTATAAATGACGTAAATACGAACAGAGCATTTTTTATATATATAGATTTAAGAACTAATGAGAAATTATAGTAAATGTAAATTTTAGTATTAGTGCAACTGTTCTTAAACAAATGAAGAACTGAAAAATTTTTTCTAACTGAAAAAGTTCTAACCCAATTTCTGAGACAATTTTTCTCGGTGGAAAAATTTTGTTTTTTAAGTTTGGGCTGTCAAATGAGTCAAAATGGGAGCAAATGAGAGAGCTTCTAATTAGAGTTTAAAGCAGTGGGGGGCAAACCTAACATATGTTTAAAATTTGAGTGTGTGCGTAGCAGAGAAAAACAATGAGAGCAGAATTCACTGAGCGAAAAAAAAGTATTTTTTTATATAATTTTCGTTAATTCAAAAGTTGGAATGGGCACTAAAATAGTGTCTTTTCTTTAAAAGCAGAGGTCGGCACGGCCCTATCTCGGGGGCATAGGTAATTTCTCTGCCCGAGCTCTGCCACACACACAGTATAAATGTGTGAAACGTCATGCTCACAGCCTACTTTCTGCTATTCGTTACTAACACTAATGCGGTAAAATCATATCAATGTATTGGGGTCCCGACCACTGTTTTAAAGAAAGCTTTTCTAGCAACAGTTCTTAAACAAATGAAAAACTACTTTTCTCCATCTATATTTTCTATGGAGAAAACTTTTTCCAACCCAATTTCTGAGAAAATTTTTCTCAGTGAAAACATTTCAATTTTTAAGTTTGGGCTGTCAATTAGTCAAAATGAGAGCAAATGAGAGAGCTTCTAAAAAAAATTGAGAGTGCTCACACTGTTAGTGTGCCGACAGCGCTGCGGCAGAATTTTATATGCACGCGTGCTATGTAAAATGAGACTTTGCCACTGAGAGAGTTGAGAGTTTAAATCACCATTGATTTAAACATTGTGCTAGTGCAGGTATTTATTTTTTCGCCGCTGATCTTTGCTATCTTTTTGATAATCATATTCTTTTATCTTTGCGGAGGGTATTATAAGCTTGATTAAAAGTGTGAGTTTAAACTTTAAAGGAAGGATCCATCTCTGAGTATATAATGTATTTTTATATTTTATCAACAGCAACGGCGTAGTCAATATCAACTTGTCTGTCCGTCTGTTTCTACGGGACTTAGTCTTAATGAGTTTAAGGGGTTATATACAGTTGTACCACATATTTATGAAAAATGTATACCTAATATCATAATAAATAAGTGGTAAAAATTTGGTGTTGATCGGATTAGTAGTTTTTTAGTAATCGTGTCCACCGCAAAGGTAATTTCCCAAAAAAAAGATTCTTATATACTTAATAGTATATACTTAGTATATACTTAAAGAATATGCAATAAAAAAAATGGATTTTTTAATCAATCACAACTGTATATAACACCTTAATGATATCGACTTATAATTTTGCGCACATTCTTCTTTCTTATGCATTAATTAAAACGGAACGGCAGGGATCAGCTCCCTCAGCTATTAGCTATCCTTTGAAAACTATATAACTAATCGATCGAAAATTCCACAGCTTTTGCGTTTTTCAAGCTACCAATTTCAAAAATCCATTACCAATTTCATGACCAAATGGAGAAATTTCATGACGTTGTATTATAATCCTTTTTTGTAGCCCAAAGTTATCTTTCCCTTTTATGAAATATTTTAATAAAATTCTAAATTTTTTTTCGCATTTTGCAGCTTTTTTAAACGAACAGATTAGTTGAATCTTGTAATTAGACAATGGAAGAAAAAAATCATATTGAGGAAACTCAAGAATTACCATTTTGTTTTATTCGGGTAAGTTATTCATCTTAATAACACAAGCCAAACTTTTTTGTTTTCATTTGAAGACTTGTGGTTCATATATTTTAGTTTCATAATCTTTTTAACTGAAATTTAATGCATTTACAAATAGCTATGCCGTTTTTTACCCTTGCAGAGGGTATTAAACGTACCTATAAAGTATATATATTCTTGATCAGGATCACCTCCTGAGTTGATATGAGCATGTTTGTCTGTCTGTCTGCTTCTACGCGAACTAGTCTCTCAGTTTTAAAGCTATCGTCTTGAAACTTTGCACACACCCTTCTTTCCTTTGCAGGCAGTATATAAGTCGGAACGGCCCGGATCGGCCAACTATATCCTATAGTAATGGAACCCGCTGTGAAAATATCTATAAGTGCGGGTTCTGCGGCATTTTGGCAGGCCACGTCGGGGAACCCGCTGTACAATTGAAAAATTTGAGAGCGGGTTCTATCCTATTTTTAGAACGTAACATATTTGGAAAGATGAAAGTTTGAAACGTTCACATAGAACAGTGGGGGGCAAAATCTCACTTTCCATAGCACGCGTGTATAGGGTAGGAAATTCTGCCGCAGCGCTGCCGGCACACTAACAGTGTGAGCACTTTCTTTTGCTCTTTCATTTGGTCTCATTTTGACTCATTTGACAGCCCAAACTTAAAAATTAAAATGTTTTCACTGAGAAAAATTTTCTCAGAAATTGGGGTCAGAAAACTTTTCTCCATAGAAAATATAGATAAAAAGCGTTTTCATTTTTCAGTTTTTCATAAAAAAAGATTTTCATTTTTTTAGGAACTGTTTCTAGCAAAGCTTTCTTTAAAATCAAATACACTATTTTAGTGCCCATTCCAAATTTTAAATCAGTGGTGGGCAAAACTAACACATGTTTAAAATTTGAGTGTGTGCGTAGCAGAGAAAAACAATGAGAGCAGAGAATTCACTGAGCGAAAAAAACGTATTTTTTTATTTCATTTTTCGTTAATTCAAAAGTTGGAATGGGCACTAAAATAGTGAATTTTGTTTTAAAGAAAGCTTTGCTAGCCAGAGTTTAAAAAAAAAATGAAAAGCTACGCTTCTCTATCTATATTTTCTATGGACAAAACTTTTTCCAACCCAATTTCTGAGAAAATTTTTCTCAGTGGAAACATTTTGATTTTTAATTTGTGCTGTCAAATGAATCAAAATGAGAGCAAATGAGAGAGTTCTAAAAAATATTTGAGAGTGCTCACACTGTCAGTGTGCCGGCAGCGCTGCGGCAGAATTTCCTACCCTATACTCGGGTGCTATGTAAAATGAGAGTTTGCCCACCACTGTTTTAAATTCAAGAAAAATGAAAAAAAAAACTTTTTTTTCGCTCAGTGAATGCTCTGCTCTCATTGTTTTTCTCTGCTACGCATACACGCAAATTTTAAACATGCGTGCGTTTTGCCGCCCACTGAAATAGAACCAGTGTGAGAGCAAAGAGATCAGAAATATCTTCTACCATCTTTATCTCTTTTTTTTGCCATTAATTCTTATTTTTATTTCAATACTAACTGTAAGTATCGTTGGATCAAATTGGAGATTAGCCTAGATAGAAAGTGGTAGAGCCTAGATACAAATCCTTGGGGTATTCATTAAAAAAAAAAAAGTTGTTATATTGTTTAGATTTTTAATTCTACCCTCTCAAACTTTTTAAACAAAACTTAATATTTCAGTCGCCTGTGCTTTGCAATTGCAACAGCTGTGTTTGTCAGCTGATTCCTTGGTTGTGGCGCCCTCTATCAAAATTTCTGTTATGCACCACTGAAGATTGGTGAATTTGGAATGCGTTACACTGAAACATATTTTCATTTTCCGACTTTCAGAAAATGGATTTTTGTCACAAAAACTGGTCAAATTCCCCATAGAGCAGTGTTTGATTTTATGAGATTATTTTTATATAATATTTACTTTTGCAGATTACTTAGTTACTTATTACCCTTGCAGAGGGTATTATAATTTTGTCCAAAAGTGTGCAACGCAGTGAAGGAGACATCTCCGACGCTATAAAGCATATATATTCTTGATCAGGATCACCTCCTGAGTTGATATGAGCAAGTCCGTCTGTCTGTCTGTTTCTACGCGAACTAGTCTCTCAGTTTTAAGTTATATTGACACACCCTTCTTTCCTTTGCACGCAGTATATAAGTCGGAACGACCGGGATCGGCCGACTATATCCTATAGCTGCCATATAACTGATTGATCGGAAATGGTATAACTTTGGTGTTTTTAGAGTTAGAGAGTTCAAATTTGACACGAGAGCTATTTTTGGCAAAACATTACGACATCCCAAATTTCATAAGGATCGGCCGACTATCGGAACGATCGGAAATGACCCAATTTTCGTGTTTTTGAAGATAGAAAGCTGGAACTTGGTACTTGATGATTATCATTATCATTATTATTATTGTTTTGGTAATTGTGTATATCAGTTAACAACCAACTCCCAGCTTAGGCTGAGCAGGCCAATTCCCTTTATAAATATTTACCATTTTTTAGTATAATTATTATTATTACTTATTATTAGTATAATTATTATTATTACAAACTCTTATACCACTCACGTATGGGCCGTTATGGACAGGGGGCCGTTAAAGCTCATGGGCCGTTATGGACAGTGGCCTTGTCTCATTGGCTGACAGCGATCGTAAGACTTCTGCAAAAGTCCATGGTTAGCGGTCTGCCACGGGCATGCGGTCTTGCATGAGCTTTTGTTAAGTCTTAAGTTAGTTCATATTTTGTATTCAATAAAGCAAGAGCACCAGCTCATACTAATGAAACTCCGGCACTTAGTCGTCAAATCCTTTATTAACTAATATGCCGACTGAGTCTCTAGGCCAGCGGTATTGAAGGACAGTTCCCTTCCACCATATCTCCTTATCTCAGCATAGGAGCAGTACGGCCAACCGGCTACTAATTATTGGAGACAGCGGCGAGGGACACCACTTCGACCGTTCCCCTCCCCTCACACCCGTTAAAATTGATCGCTCAATTGATTGTCAATTGAATTGACAAATTGATCACTCTTCGAATCTCACTCTAAGGAATATAAAATGTAAGTGACTGTGCGCCTAAGATAGCATCCAGGTCTATACGTGATATTGTAATAAACAAGGTGTCTACGAACTGTCCACACCACACTCTCCTACCATTAAAAAGTCAATAAATATCGACAAAAATTTTACCTACAAACGTGCCAGAGCTAGCAATTTAAATTCAAATTTAAAAAATACAACAAACAATTATTTGAAATATATACTTATTTGCATTTTTGAGTGGCGATCACGCATAAGAAAACTTGCCCTTACCTTTTTCCCTTGATTATTCTGTAAAGATACTTGATTTGCACGTGTTTATTTTGAAAAAAGAACAGAAATTTTGTGTGATTGCTAAGCCTGTTGCTTCGCTCCAACCAATTCCCAACTGGAGTTTTTCTTGGGATGTATAAATTCTGCGGGTTTACTATTATATTTTCTCTTGAAATTAATTGTGCTTCACCCACCGTGTAGTGACTCCTCTGAAATAATTGTCCATCGTCGCAAGACCCTGAATTGGCTACAGGTGTTGTCCAACTAAACGTCGTGCGCAAACGAAAATTTTCGCCCTTATTACTGCCGATTAACTTACTCAGCCCCATTTGCGGCCGATGAGTTGGGAATACTGGGAAGTAAAACAGGAAGTGGTCAGTGACGATAGTGAAGAAATCGGATTTTATCACACAAAGACACAACTAGAATCACCAACAATGAACCCAGAAATGATACAAGCGCTCATAACAAATGCCGTCAATGTCGCACTAACCGCACAGGAGCATCGCTGGCGAGCAGAAATTGAATCAGTTAGAAACCAGGTCAGCTCGCTAACTGTGCAGGCACCCCAAGTAGAAGTATATAAAAGGGTAACACCGGACCCCACCATAGAGTGCGGTGTCAAATTAGACATCGTAAAATCGCTCCCAACCTTTAGTGGCAGCCATGACGAATACGTGTCGTGGAGGCAGACCGCATTAGATGCGTATGAGGTATTCAAGAGATACAAAGGCAGCGAGACCCACTATGAAGCAGTGGTTATTATCAAGAACAAAATTTGCGGTAACGATCACTCCTCACGTCCCATAATACCGTTTTAAATTTCGATGCAATTCTAGCTAGGCTAGATTGCACATACGCGGACAAAACGTCCCTGAGGGTGCTACGCCAGAATTTAGAAATGGTTCGGCAAGGAGATGCCGACCTTATGACATATTATGACGAGGTCGAGAGGAAACTCACCCTCGTCACCAACAAGATAGTCATGTCTCATACTATGGACACGGCAACGATCTTGAATAAGGAGGTTAGGGATGACGCCCTTCATGCCTTCATTGCAGGGCTAAAAAGACCTCTCAAATCACTCGTGCTGCCAGCACAACCTAAGGACCTTCCGTCCGCACTAGCTTCAGCGCGGGAGGCTGAGAACAGCATTGAAAGAAGTGCGTTCGCGGCATCCTACGCGAAAACCATAGAAGACAAGGCCCCTTTTTATGAGGGCAACAGACGCAAAAATAAAGGTCAGGGAAGACAATGAAAAGCTGAGGATAAAAATCCGCATTTCATTCCTAGGCAGGGCCAAGGCAAGTCTCACGAGGATAACCTATTCCCGAAATGGGAGGATTCTCAAACCATGCACCAGAATAAAGTTCAACCCATGGAAGTAGACCCCTCGACGGCCAAGTTCAGACAGGAGACAAGCTGGAGGAAGCCGCAAAGAAATAATAATTACAAAAGGCAGAACTCGTCCCAGCGTCAATCGGGCCAAAGACGCCAACTCGTTAACAATATAGCCCAACCCCAACAGGAGGAAAGTTACTCCGCCACAGCGGAAACGGAAGTGGCCGACTTTGAAGAAGACGTTGACACTGCCGAACTTAATGACCTCCTTAATTTTTTAGGGAGCGCTCCCGACTGCCGTTCGTCGAGCGACAGTTGGCTAGT